CCCTTTGATAGCACGCGGGTGATCTGGATCCAGAATATTCGTTTTACCCTTATCTTCGTGAGAAACCTCTCTCTTGAACGATCTTAATTAAGACTAATACCCCAGATAAGTTTTAAGCATCGCTCACCGCGGAACATCCCTGGTGATGCACGAATTGTAACAGTTGTTTTGAAATTGTATCGTTATCAGTGAGAGAGAAAAAAAAAAAAATATATATATATATATATATATATACAGTGAGCAACGAAAGTATTCGAACGACATGATAGAAAATAATTGATTATACAAAAATTGTATAATAAAATTGCAATTTATTGAAACAAATTTTTCTCCAACTTTGCATATATTTAGCAATTGTTTTATAGAATAGTATAAAAACAATTTGGTTTAATAAATTGCAATTTTATTATACAATTTTTGTATAATCAATTATTTTCTATCATGCCATTCGGATACTTTCGTTGCTCGCTGTATAATATTATACACAGTTTCTGATGACGAAGGCAATTAATGTCTAATCTTTCGTTTGAAAAGTGACAAAATTGTGACATCTCTCATGTTTCAAAGAAATTGTCTTTCCGTCAGATTTTTTATAGTTCATTCTCGAAGTCTAGAAAAATCTACTAGTAAAACTAAAATGTTTAAAATTACCTTGGAAACGTATGTGCGTGCGATAAATTGATAAATGCGTTCGTCTTTATCCGCCTTTATCTAAACCTTTTCTATTCTCTTGTCATGAACATTATCTCTGTTACCGATTGCAAGATTATCCGCACAATTCTCTGGCACCTCGATGTAATCCCAATTCCATCCCCATAATTCCCACGACGAGCTTTTTTTCCACCAAGTAGAAGTCGACGCGAGGTTCACGATGTGTGTGTGTGTGTCGTTCCTCTCGAAACCCAGAGCACGTTCGCGTGCAGCAGTTCTCCAGGAAAGGAAGAAGAGCGTTCTATGCGCCGCTTTACAAATAATTCGAAACTGGCCGGCTCTGGAGTAGGACTGGGAGGAGGAGGAGAAGGATTCCTTCGGGACGGGGGATTTTTCCGGTAGGGCAGGCGGCTCTGCTCGATTGTTCGCCGCGTTGTTCACGGCGCAATGAAAGCTCTGGCCGATGGTACGAACAAAAAGCCGTGAGGTAGACATAAATAAATAGGTGGTGGGTGTGGTTGGTAGGCCGCACACATGGCGTCGTGACCCGTCTCTTCTCTTCGTGAGCTCAGGGCTCGCTTAAGTTATGCCCTGCGGAATGCCGCTGCTCCCGCTTCTTTCGGTGTCGTGGCTAAACGCAGTTTCACCGTGCGCCGGGCTTAGTTTCACCTCCTTTTTGCTCCGATTGGTGCACAACCGCCTCGTTTCTCTAACGAACAAATTCATCCTATCGATGTTGATTGGAGATCTTTATTTGGAACTTGTCGAAGCGATTGTTTGTTTACTCAACTTTTAGTTTTTCAGTGGCTTGACGGAGGATTCGGGAAATGAAAAGCTGCAGAATGTAAACGGTGTCACGTGCAACATTCAGGGTATCGGGATTTCTTATATCGTAAATAATTTTCGATCGCGAGAAACACAAAATTTTCGTAATTGATCACCGTTTACATTGAATCCAAGAATATACGAATGTTGTCAAGTTACTATATCTATTAACGCTGGGATTGGAAAAAGATTGCGTTGTAAAAATTAATCTTACAACATGAAGATGAAAATTACCCTCGAAATCGTCGTCGTCGTCCCGTTCAACGTGATCGTGAGTAAATTTTCAATTGTTCACTCCCTGAGGCAAGAGATGAGGGACAACGATCGAGAAGGACAACGTAGCCGGATTTTCCAAGTAATTCCGTTCCGAAGCTATTTGGCGCTGGACGAGCACCAAGGACACCCTGAAGGGAGCAAAGGCTGCTGGCTGGCTGGCTGACGTCGTGGCCAGCTGGAAGTTACGACGGGAGTCCGCGGGCGTCTTACGTGGGATTTTATATGGGAAACTGATTCGACCACGAACCGGAGGATAATATAACACCGGGGGCATTTTGTTTTGTTGCGCAAGAGGATAATAAACATCGTTCGGTGCCCGCTACCGTGCCGACTAGATAGCTACGACGATGAAACAATGCGGCATTGTCCCGGCAGGCTAAACCGCCAAAGCACAGCGCCGAACCCAAGCACCGTGTTAAGTCATGAACGGCGTTGCACACGGCCTTAGAAACGTCCAGCCGCGTAACTCCCCGATAGAACCGAGGGACCTGACCCCGGTCAAGCATGCCCCGCGATGGAAAAATCGCGGCAATGGCCTCGGTGTTCGCCGGAAACGGAAGATCGGCTTTATGGCCGCGAGAGAGATCTCTCTGAACCAAATATTGCAGTTGTAACATTGTTCCTTTCATACATTTTTTTTTTTTTTTTTTTTGTAGAGGATGAAGGGGTAGTTTATGGCGAAGTTGGTTTTATCTTGTATTTTTTGGCGAATTTCAATTGTTAGAGTAGTGACTAAGAGCAGTGATTATATACTGTTTTGTTAGTTTTATTTTTCGGGATAAGTTTTGTCTTAATTAAGATATATACTTAATTAATAAGATATATATATATATATATATATATATATATATATATATATATATATATTCTTTTTTGTAGAAGAGAAAGTTTTATGATCAACACCTTTTTGTTAATTTATCCTTTAATCCCTTCGAGATCTACTAAAACCTACTAGAATCAAAGAAAATAATTTCTTCTTTTTTTAGGAAAACTAATATCCACTTATACGAACATTTATCATTTATTTATTTAATTAATGTTTGTTCAATAGCGTTCATTATATCGTGACTGATCTAATGAGAAGCGAACCATTCGAAAGACCAAGTATTCTAAAAGTATCAGCAAAAAAAAAAGACACTAGAAATCTAATGCCTATGATGTATGTACATATATACACATATGTCATAATCACTTCCTTATAATCGATCCCTCCGCACACAATTTTTCATAATCAACTCGCGAGGATCAATACTTTCAAGTACACAATCCTTGAAGAACATGGAACCGTCGGGCGAAAACTACGCTTTGCAAGAGGAGATTTCCATCTGCAGATCCTAAGAACCCTCGCTAACGTGTCGGACGTTGGAAAACCCAACGTGCACAATCGACGATCACCATCGTCGACTCGCGATAAACAATTGTTAATAAACAATTTCTAATTAGCCAGTTGCGCGTTTTCGCGATTAGCATGCCGGTTAATTAATTGAGGAAACTCCTCTATATCTCACGCACACTAGCTCGCTAGCTTTTATCTTGCAGAAGATAAAAAGACGAGGAAGGAAGAAGAAGAAAAAAAAAAAATAAAAATAAAAAAGAAGAGACAGATAAGAGGAGAGAAAAGGAAACGCGAAACGAATTAGAAAAGTTTCAGGTGGCCATTGTCCGAGCCGGTGAAAGCGAGCCGTTTCCAGATTTCATCTCCGATTAGCCTTGGCACGATTCGATGGAAATCGCGCTCGTGTGCCATCCTGCCATTTTATCTCTCATCTTGTTTTTCTTCTTTTGTTTTTTTGTCTTTTTTTTCTTTTTTGAAGAGAAAAATCGATCTCGTAGCATTTCTATTGGTTCCTTTTTTCAAGCTACATTTATTATTATTAGCTGAGTGAATTCTCTTCTGAAGAGATTAAAGAATAATACGCAAATGTTTCAGTTTAAGAAGATGATTAAATTCCTTCCATAATAAAAAGGAAGCAACGTGATAATTAGTGCGATCGATCATCGTCAGTTGAAAAATTGCGTATTGTGTAAACATCAATCAATCAATAATATAAAAATACATATATATATATAAAATTAGCAGATACATAATAATCACAATTAATATATGCAACGCTCAACAAGAAAACTGAGAAAGAGCTCAACAAAGATTGACAAAAGTTAATCCCTAAAAATCAAAAGGAAATAAAACTAAAGTATAAAATAATCTAGAGGCTGAAACAGAGCGAAATGTATAAAAGGACTACCATTTTATCTCTCCGTGAAGAGGAGAAGGAAAAACACCACCAGCACGTTGGTGGTACACGAGAGGAGTGAAAAGAGTGGTAGGAAACGACGTAGAGGTTTGGCCCCCGGCGGTTTTCTTATTTCCATGAAAATCGCTCGCGCCGATCCCGACGACACAATGCCATTCCGGTGTTTTAAATGCAAATCCGCGAAAGGAAAAACCGTAAGGGCATTATAATTTATATTACTACATGTGGCAGCGGCACTTCCGGCGAGAGAGCATAGGCGCAGTTCCGGTCAGCTCGGCCTGGAGATCCTACCTCGCCAGATTATGAGCCCATGCCGCTTTTACAATGGATCGTCTGCCCTGACTCATACGTCAGCCGGAATAATTTTCGTTGCCATACGCGCGTGTACATACGCGTGTAAATCCAGGCAACGTCGTCGTCGTCGTCGAACGGACTGAAATGAAGGAGAAAAAAAAAAAAAAAAAGGAAAAAGAAAAAGATGGAGGACTGTGTATCTCGTTACGATCTATTACCGGAGTAGAAGTACTCGTGGCACGTGTTCGATGCTCCCGATAGATTCGGAGGAACGTCTTCGATGATTGATACGTGCAAGAAGGTTTTTTCTATGGTTTCTATGTGATCGTGGTGCAGATTGTTGGATTCTCAGGAGAGAACGCCATTTTGAATGTCTTTGTGCGAATTGAGGATTGGAGATATTCTTCTAATTATCATCCCAGGTTTCATTAAATCGACAAAATGGTCCTTGTTTCGAAAATTTCTGAAAGCTTTGGGCTTATCGGAGAAAGAACTATAACAGGATTTTTGGAATCTGATTCGATTGATGGAAATTTGATTTCTGTAATGTACAGTTGTACACTTGTACACTTGTGCTGGATGGTGTAAAGATATTTTTGTGGACTGAAAATTGACAATTTTATCTTCTGTTTGATCGGTTTATTTAGAAACTGATTTGATACATGGAGATGCTTGGTGTAAGAAAATGATTAAAACTGTCCATTATAGACCATTCTTCTGAAATTTTATTATTCTTTAAATCTTCCAAGTGATAAATTAAGAAACGAGATCCATGTTTGCACGATTCTTCGAAAGCATCCAGCTTAGTATTTTTAAGTTTAACTTGATCAAAATTTCTATTTGACAATCATTCTGCAATTAATCGTTTTAAGATTTGGAACCTATATTTAAGGATCAATCGAAATTCTTGAAACGAATTATTCTTTCCATTTTCATTCTTTCTACTTTGTCGTTTTTAAACGTTTTACTCGTCATTTTTGGTCAACTTTATTACACAACTTGACGTTTATCATTCTAACAATCTTAAATATAACAGAAAATCGCATTTAGACGACAAATTGGCCATTCTTTATAAAGTCAACGATTTTCTGCACGGTGTTCCGGAACCTAGCAAAATTCACTTTCGCCTCCTCGGAGGATTTCGACTTGTAAATGGCGGTGGTGTAGGCGGCTGTCAATTCTGTGACCAATCTTTGCGCTCTTCTGGCAGCAGCTTCGATCGAACCTGATGGCGTTTTCACACGATACGCGGTTCTTATGATTTCTTCTTTGATCAGCTTCACCAATTGTTCGTCGTCCTTCTCGCTCGACGTCTCCGTCGAGATAACATGGAAAATCTCTCTGATGGCCTCGTCTGCTGTAACTGCAACAACAACAAAAAGCTTCTGATATTTGCAAGATAAAGGTCAATGAAGAAATGTTCCTTTATCAATCTTTTCTATGTCGTACATTTTTCAAATTCGTCGAAATGATCTTCGATCTTTGCATTTTATTCCTTTCAAGTTACTTTATTGACTCGTTGCTTAAAAAGTTCGTTCTTTATTCGCGTCGTATCGCTGTCAGAAGATGCGTCATTTCGAATAAATTAATTTCGACAAGATTTGGTCAACAAATTTTGCCAGGTTTTACTTGCTTGTCTTTGAATCATTGTTTCAATAGAATTCCACGATTTAAAAAGAAAATTTTACAACTCTGACAAAGTAAGAGATGCTTCTGTCGAACAAACTCGAGTTCAATCTTTTCAACATTATAAACATTCCAAAAAGAAAAAAAAAAAAAAAAATAATAGAAGCAAATTCTTCGGATTAGCGAAACTCGTTTCATATATGGCATAAAAAATATTTCGTCCATCTTTAACGCTGAAAGAACATTTCCCAAAACGTTCAACCTTGCCAAAAAAATTACCGATGTTCCAAAAATAAGAGGACAAGAAGGAAAGAAAAGAAGTTTTTTTTCTCAAGAAAGAATCTCGTCGAACAAAAGAATATTTCACCTGGTGCCGTTAGCCTGTCCTCGATCGATCCACGTGGATCGATCCCGCTGGATCGCGGCGCGCAACAAGCTGCAAGAACGATCGTGGCGATCGTCGCGAGCTTCGCCATTCTTGAACGTTCGATCGGTCAAAACTGCCGGTCGTGTGACATTCGATTTTCTCTTTTTATACTTGGCAGCCACGTTGGTGGTTCGTGTTTCGTAGTTTGTAGTCGTATGATGTAAATTGTAATTTCTCGCTGGTTGCCGGGACCGATTATTACGAACGATCCCGATGAGTGTCATTAAAAGGAAAAGACAGAAGGGAAAGTGGAGCAACGTGACGTACGAAAGTATATTGTTTCGCGGTTTACTTTGATTTTCACGTTGATTCATCATGGAGGGGAAAATTGCAGCTACGTGAAAGCGCCGATGCAGTGCAGAGGAGCTCGGAGCGCGTTTTTGTTGAAATTTCGCTATAAATTAGACATTTTATGTGAGAATATTATTTTTATCGTTAAAAATTATAATTAATTTAATTGTCGCATAAAAATATAATAATAACAATATAATAATTATATATTTAATTACTTTAATTAATCTCTAATTAATTTGTATTAATTTTATAATTAATTTGATTTATTATACTAAAAATAATATTGTATATTATTTTGTTGTTAAAAATAATCATATAATTAACTCACTTTTGGATGCAGCAATTACAAAATTCTGAATGGAAACTAAAATTAAAAGAGAGAATTCTACACGTGGAAACAACTTTTGTAGTAGTAGAATTTCGAGTAATTCGATAAAAAATAATTTTACTCGAATCAAGTCGATCGAAAATACTAGAATTTCCAATCCCGTACTTTGTGGTTTTGCAATTAGTAAATATTTATTCGCTTTTACTTCGTATATTTACTTATTTTTGTTATTACTAGTTTAATTATAATTAACACCTGCATTCATGACCGGTAGTTCAACCAACGTCAATTTTATATTAATCGTAGAAAAAAAATTGTAACTTAAACTTTCTCTGTCACGTGTCATTTTCTTCTATCGAACTACGAAACAAAGAATAATACAGATCGAAGATTTAGTACTGTTTCGAGCGAGTCAGGCTCAGTCAGACTTTTCTCGGTTAGGACAGCCGAGGGGCTCAACAGGTCGACGCGTCGGTTCCCCCTTGAAAAACGCCAGAACCAGCGCCGATGCTAGCCGGCGGTAAAAGTGCGTGAACATAGGGAGGGAGTGCATCCAGCCATGATTCCTCTTCACCGATTTTTACCCCCTTCCTGTCCCCTGTATGCCATACTCCCTCATTGAAACGGCGGCTCGATGGCTCGCGATTAAAGTCCACAGTGGTTTCCAGAATTCGTGTTTCGCAAAGGACGTCCACTTTCACCGACAATATACTTTGGACTGTATAACCCGAAACCGCTGCGTAAACCTCTCGTTTACTCGTTTCGCTGTTGACGCCGTGATATAATAATATTACAGACATCGAATCGTTCTAACTCGAAAATTTCTTTTTGAACAACGTTTGGAGTGTTTGGGAAAATTCACTCTTCTCAAGAAAAGAAGTTTCCCACGTAAGAACATAGATAAGAATTTCTTGTCAGTCTCAAATTTAATCAATTTCTTCAAAGACTTATTATATAGAACATACCAGCTTCGCTTTATTGGTTGTATTAATACTTGTTGTAAATTGTCGATTCCTCTAGCAATTCTGTAAAATTGATTACAGGTATAGAAAGTCTCTGAACAAGTACCATCCTTCTACTAAAAAATAATTACCACTTGTAAAATTCGAAGGACAATCATAAAAAAATACTTTCACCTCATTTGTTTTTTTAACAGATAGGAATATTATAATTTAGAACTTGTATCTTTAAATATAATCAGCCATAATTTAAGTGCATATGTATACAAGAGAATACTATTACAAAAAAAAAAAAAAATCTATTTATCATAGTTGTATCTTGTAACATTTCCCTTTCTTCTCACTCCTCCAATATTCACTTACATAATTTCTTCTCTCTAATAATTACTTCTAGAATTTTCACGTGCACCAAATTTCTGGACAACACTACTCACTGTCATTCACACAAGAATTATCAACGACTGAAGCATAAAATTTCACACAACAGAATTATAAAACATAAGCTTTTATTTGTATACTTGAAAAATATCTCCAAAAGATATATTGTTTTAATTTATACAAGTTGTTTTAGAAATTTTTAATAAAAAAAAAAAAAAAAAAACTGCAAACTGGTTATTCTGACTACGTTGACAGTTCCAGTTAAATTTTGAAAGACTTATCTTTCGAACGACGTTCCACGTGCAATTTTTCACATTTCAAGTATTTTCCTCGATAGAGTCATCGGGAATGTCGAGGAAATTTCGACCTGACGGTAATTTCCAACTGTTCCCAACTCGGCTTTGCGCAACTGTCCGACTCGAAGGATGCGCGAGAGTGTCCGCTGGGAAAACGCGAAAACATCGTCGTCCGATTATCGTCGGCTGTCGCAACGTCCGAGCCTAGGAAAAGCCTGCACGCGAAAGGAGACGCCGCAGGATGTCGGGATAATACACATTATGGTCCGGCCATTATTACGCAGGAGCACACTCCGGGGCTCTTTCTACGTGCGCAACGCCGAGCCGGAAGGCCGACTCCCGCGTGTCTGCTTTTCCTGCATGAATGAAATGTAATTTAAGCTTACTCAAGTACCCGTATTTCCATTCATCCCACATTCGCGTGTCGAAGATTCTCCTACGACATGATCGCCATGGGGGACGCGCTCGCTCACTCAGAGATCTGTCCGGGGTTTCGTTTGAAGGGTTACCTACGCTACGACTCGGAAATGACTCCTTTCCGTTTTAACGGTTTGGTGGACGAAGGTTCGTCGAAGATTGAAGAGGGCTCGGTGTTTTCTTGATTTTGCATTTTAGAATTCTCGGTTTCCGGTAATATTTATTTTTTTTTTTTAATTGAAATTAATCCATAGCTTTGGATGACTTCTGGTCTTTAACAATATAACGAGTGCTTATCCCTAAAAGTAACGTTTAATGTCTAGCTTGCAACACCTTAACCTACCTAATATTTTATATATATAATATTATATATACATTATATATATAATATATTTACTAATATTATATACATTACATACATTACTAATATTTTATATATATGTTTTGTTAACTTTGGCTTGCAACTTTGGTTAGTATATATGATCTGAGATATCTCTCTTGATCCGAATATACGTGAAAAATTCAGTATCCCAACTTCCTGTTTTATAATTTTCGATTGGTTTATGATTACGTTTTTTAATCAAGCTTCTGACGCTTTTTAGATCTTTCGTTTTAAGGGGAGGAAAAAAAAAACTCTCCCTAAAAGGGAGGAAATAACCCGACAACTCGAGTCATCCACGAAAGAAAGAAAGAAAGAAAAAAAAAGAAGAAAAACAAAAAAGAAACCTGCCACGATCCTCGAGAGAGAACTGAACTTCCGGGACCCAATCCGGATTCGTCGGTTCGTGCTGCTCGCGAGGAGCAGAGTTTAAACAAAGAAAGAAAGCAAGCCAGCAAGCAAGCAGCTCCGACGAGGTGAAGAAAGGAGGAAGGGAAACGAAAAAATCACGGGCGCACGGGGTACCTCGATCGACGGGGTCAAGCCGGCAAAGAGCAGGGAAAGAATGGCAGCGTTTAAAGGAGGCTTAAAGTCATCTCGCGGACGTAATCGGCCCTGTCGATCTTCGGTGGTCCTCGCCGGTGCCATAATCCCGCGTCTCCATTCAGCGGCTCTCCGCACAGCTCCGATTGGCATTGATCATTGTGTCTCACACGATCGGCTCATAATAGACCACGTCGTTTCCATCGTTCCCCGTTGCTGATACGAGAATAAAGAGTCCCTCACGGCAAGAGTCTTTTCGGCCTCGTTTCTTCTCTCTCGCTCGCTCGTCTTTTTGTACCTTTCAGTGCGTGAAGTATTTATCGAGTGTGATCGTGTTGGATGAGAGAGAGAGAGAGAGAGAGAGAGAGAGAGAGGATATTCTGAGAGAGGAGCGTCATCCTGAGAGAGTTTCAACGAGAGTGTCGCTGATAAGATCGTGATCGATGGTACAAGGAAGATATTTTCGATATTTCGTCTCGTTCGGTTTTTGGACAGAGAGGCGAGAGATTTTCGTGTCTGTTCGTGGATCTGTTCGTACTTTCTGGTATGATAATTGAAAGGCTTCGGTATGAGAAATTATCATTATTACGCGCGCCCCTGCTCAAAAATCTAGGACATGTGTTTATTTTAAAAGAAAAAGGAAAGAATTTGATAATATTTTATTTTAACAGGCAATCTTTAAAGCATCGGTTCAAATATCAACATATTTTAATTATAAAATACACGTACAATTTAAAAATTGTATTATTTATGATATATATATTGAATGTTAGAAATAATAAAAAGTACTCTACGATTTTTGAGTGGTGTAAGTGACTTTACCTTGGATCGGTGTAAATAACTTTCATGCAAAAATGAAATAATAAAATAAGTTTCATTTCAAACAGTTTATTGTAATATGACTGATCGTGATATATCGGTATGATTCGAGTCATTTAGTGTGAATCATGAAATTTTACAACTATCGCTTTTACCGTCACATTACTCTAATATTATACGTTTCTTTCAAAAACATATATTTTGCAACGTGAACTTCAGAGCGCTGTAATACAGAATACAATTTTATCAATTAATTATTAAAGAGACTTTTGGTGTTGAAAATTGAAGAAAATTGCAGTCTCTCGAGGAAAATTGAAAAAAAAAAAGGAAGTCTCTCGGAGTATCGCTCCGATAGCTTTTCTTTTTCTTTCGAGTCCAAGGAATCTGAGAATGTTGGTCAAGTTTTTTTTCTCGAGTTAATTAATTGATTTTCGTCCACAAAGATCTGACGGCGGGAGCTCGATCTCCGTAGGAGAACAAAGATTTCTATATCTAGGTAATCCCAGCTGCTTTCGATTCACCGTGAAGCGAGCAAAAAAAGGCCAGTGACTCAGCTCCGCAAAGAGAAATCAGGTGACAAATCGATCGACGGACTTAATCCTACGACGTTTCGTCCACCTGCCTCTCAGTTCCGTTTTTTCTGTCATCTTCACATCAGCCTGAGTCTATCTAATCATTGCAGTAATCAAAGATCAATATTAGACATGTAGTGGCAGAAATTTTTCACAATGAATTTCATTTCCGCAAAAGTATAACAATACCTAGATGATATAGAATTGTCGTCACATTTTTGATTTCTGTTTTCTACATTCCAATTTTTTTCTTCTTTTAATAAGATATTCATCATTCTGCGATTCTATTCATTACTTCGCAGGAGGATTGTATTCAATTAAATCTTGCAGATCTCACGATAAAAGTTTTTATAAAATCAGTCACTTTTCGTTCGAC